CATACTAAAGACCGCATCAAGGGTATGACCCGCAAAATGAGTAGGCCCAATGACCAATTGGGACCTGGCAGAGGCTGCCTTTAGCATGGTTCTCTTTATTTCCCATGAGATTATAGAAGTAAAATGGCTTCTATAAGTAAACACAATGCCTATCTAAATCTCAGCCTCACCAATTGAAATTTCCTTTGTTATCAACAAAAGCTTTAGTTCAAAGGTGGGAATCATATAGTCTCTAGACCTGCCTCTGCCAACTTCAGGGTGAAGAGGAAGAATCTCAGAGCAAGAGCTCTATCTGGAAAAGAAAGTGTGTATATATTTTCCTCATCTGTTAGACTTGGTGTTTGTTATTTAAATGGATTACTCTGTGCAGCTATGTTTGATGCTTAATGTACCATGCTTAATCCCTAGAGCCCACCCCTAGTGATGTTTCAAGGAAATCAAAGTGCCAAGTATTGGTGAACTCATTATTCCTGGTCAGGATAGTCCTGTCTAAATCCAATGGTTGATCCAAGTGTACTTTCCATGGGATCAATGACTCTATTCTACCTGGGAATAGCAATTAAATTTAGGGCATAGTCTTAAAAAATAACACCTGGCCCAACCTCTATGGAATCCAGAATATTTTCTGTACTATACAGAACTCTGCTCTCCAATGGAAAGAAATAGCTAGGAAATTCAGAAGGGGCAGCTGAGTAGCTGCCATTGTTGTCTCATTCTGTATCATAGCATATCAACAAACGCTTTAGTTCAAAGGTGGGAATCATATAGCCTCCATAGCATAGCATTTTGTATCTCATAGCATCAGCCCTGCCTCAGCTCCAGATTCCTGACTGTCCTTACTCTGGCTTTTGAGAGAGAGAACAACCAGCAATACTGATGGTGAGGTGATATGATAGCCCTGTTGAAGAATTTGAAGGGATGTCATATTGAGGAGGGCGCTAGCTTGTTTTCTATTGCTCCAGAGAACAGGACCCGGAACAATGGATGCAAGCTACAGGAAAAGAGATTCCACCTTAATATTAGGAGGAACTTCCTGACAGTGAGAGCTTTTTGACAGTGGAACACTCCCTCGGTGATTTTTGTGGAGTCTCATTCTTCGGAGGTTTTTAAACAGAGGCTGGATGGCCATCTGTTGGGGATGCTTTGATTTAGAGTTCCTGCATGGCAGGGGGTTGAACCAGATAGTCCTTCTTCTCTCTTCCAACTCTATGATTCTATGAATTCTCTCCATGTTCCAGCTGCCATTGTCCTAGCCTTTGAGGGAGAGAAGAGTAGCTAGCATCTGCTGGACTTAATCCCTCACAGCAGCAGCATCCCATTTTTCTTCTGTGTCCTGTCATATTTAGATTGTAAGCCTGAGGGCCAGGAACTGTCAAATTAACAATTTGTTAGCTGCCCTATGTGACTAAAGGAAGGGGTATAAATGTTCAAAATAAATAATGTATTATAATAAATGTCCCCACTCAGGGCCCTTGGGTAATTAGCATTTCCTTTCCCATCAGCCCCAACAAGCACAGACAAACATTTGGAATTCTGGAAATTATAATGCAGAATACCTGGAGCCATCAGGTTGGGGGGAAAAAACTTATCTTATCTTATCTTATCTTATCTTGCTCAATGTCAAAATGCACTGATTTACAAAACACATCCAAGGTAATTGGGTGTTGTGATTACATTTTTGTCTCCTTTTTGTCTTATTCTTTCTTTCCAAACTGGGGAAGACAGGATGTGATTATTAACCCATCCCTTCATTTATGCATTTAAAATATTTAAGGTATATGATTTGTGAGTATATGTTATATGCCTTAAAGTTGTTTCTGGCAAATCCTACAGAGAAGTGGTTCTCAAACTGTGAGGCAGTACTTGGGGGGAGGGGGGTGTTTGTAAAATTTGGTCAACCATCACAAGACTTGGAAGGCCTAAACCATCTCCTCCTCCTCCTCTTCCCAAAATTTTTTCTATCCTGGAGGGGACGAGAAAGGCAAGCAGGGTTCTTCGAGCCTTTGCTTGAGGGAGAAGGAGAGCTATTTCCTTATAAAATGTTAAAATTTGAATATACACAGATGTGGAAATGAAAATATGCACATTAAACAAACAGCATAATTTTTATTCTGTGTTGAGCATGGGGGGAATGACATCCTGATGTAGATGTAAAGGGGGTCATAAGGGTGCAAAGATTGAGAGCGACTGGTATAGAGGACTCTGGGATTCATAATTTTAATGTTATTTTTCTATATTCTGATCCCTAGTGGCCACTGCCAGGTCTTGTGGCATAGAATTCCATTGGGCTTCCTGCTATAAGGATGCTACTGCCTTTCAAATAGTCCTGAAGGCATCCTTCTGTGCTTGCCAGGTGGTTGACTCAAACAAGCTATGAGATCAGGAAACTCAGCAAGGGGGGGGGGTAGTCTAACTTTGCTCAAGGATGTGCCTAGAGAACCAGCTCTTTAAAAAACATTGGTCTCTTCCCAGCTATTTCTCAAAGGGAACACAAAATGAAAAGTCCTCTTGAAATAATACCAAACAATGAGAAAATAAGCAGAATGGCATTTATTTTCCCCGGTGCCTTCTAGTGAAAAATGAATGCTTCTGAACACCTGGTGATTTGTTGTATAAATGTTAACATTTGCCCGAGTCCCCTATTTGGCTTCCAACTGTGGTGTTCATTGCTCACTGTTGCACTGCTGTATGTGATTCAGCCTCATTAAGTAGCATTCCCCCCCCCCCCACTCCCTATGGGCCAAACCATAAATCTGAAACAAACCCTTTTTAGCAAAGGCTGGTAATCGTGGATAGAAACTCTCCAAACCAAAGCAGAGGCTTCTGACTTTCTGCAAGTTAGATGGGACAGACTGGGCTGGTTACCCTATAAGAAATGCTTTGCACAGCTTTGGCTACACAGTTCCATACTAGTAGAGAAGAATTCTGTTTCATCAGTGTCAGGATCTGAGATCCTGTCATGTTTGCTAGTCATATATTTTGTATATGCTTTATAACACTGGATGATGGGTTTTGCAGTACTAGTGGTGATGCCGGGTGGAGAGATTGTTTATCTTTTGAGAAGTGGGATAATGAACAGATGTGAAGAAAGAAAAAAATGCATGTTGAACTGGCATGGTCAAGTCAATGGGGATGTTTGCTACATGATGGAAAGGACAGGCTGTCCAGGGAGCAGGATTGCTTTGGTTAAGAGACGAATGGGTTGCTATGTGCTTTTACTATACACTGTAACCAAAACTGCTTCAGTCCTGACAATATTGCTTATGCTGTGAACAGCTTTAGTTTTAGAATAAGGTTTTCTGAATTTTCCTGAAACTTGGGTTTCTGAATTGAAGACTGCCAGTACACGACAATCAGACCAAAGGGCCATCAAATCTGAGGCACTTTCTGAGGATCAGAGTAGCCTCCCAACACTCCTATGAATTC